TCTCTCTTGTTGCTTGCACTGTTCTTTGTTCTGTATTCTTTCACTCTCAAGTTGCTCAGGGTAGGAAATGTTCTGAGTTGAAGGAAACTCAGGAGGAATGAAGAGAGGGTCACAGAGGAGTTCAAATAGTATGCCTTTGAACTAAGGGTTATTTAGGGCCAGTAAGATAAGTCTCTTGCCCCAATTCAATCTAGTTAGTTATTATCCCTTTCGTACTTACTTGTTTGCTCTGGAAAAAAAAAAAATCTATCCCAACCTCCCTAATTCTCCAGACAGCACCATGAGTATAGGTCATGATTAATAGGTCATGAGTATAGGTCATAGATTAAGCTTTATCCACGGCTCCCAAGCAAGACTCTTCCAATTCCCTGGGGACTGATGTGACAAATGCCTCCTAATGCTCCTACTTTTGTTAACTATACAAAACAAAGCTCTTTCATTTTTCCCCATCCTTTCATTTTCAAATATTTCTTTGCTTTTCTTCCTACCATCTAGACTTTCACCCCAAAATTCTGCCCTCTCCCTCATCCTTTCTTATCCTATGTCTATAATGCCTAGAGCCCTCAGTTGCTTCTCTGAACATTCATTTCACATTCTTGCCTCAGCTGATGCTGGACTCATTCTGAGGACATTGTTTCTACCAATTACAGGGAACCCAATCTCAGTAACATGACCCAGCATACTTCTCACTCTCAAAGCTATGTCCAGGCCATGAGTTCTCCTCTCTCATGTGAAAAAAAAATCTTTACTCTTTTGGGATTTGTGATACCCCACTTAATCACCAGCTCTCCTTGTCACCAAATTCCTTGATCTCTCTCTTTCTCATGCTTTAAAAGCACCTGTCATGCAGCCTTATTCTCCTGCCAAGCCCCACCTCCACACGGTTCATTTTCCTGTTCACATGTATCCTTGCAGCACCCTCTGCAAATTTTGGTCTTGCAGCTCCAATCATCTTCACCTTTCCTCACTTTAGCTCCTCATCCATGTGGTCTCATACTCAACGAGACCTATCTCTGATCACAGTGCCCTGCATGCTCCTCATTCACATTCAGGTACATAGGTACATAGCTTGTCCTTTGGTTCCTGTGTTCATCAGCCTCTTCCATGGCCTCACTCCCTCCACCAGGCCTCTGTCTTCCTGTCCATCAAGCACTCTTCATCCTTTCTCATGCAATTTGGAATCCTTGACATAGCACTATAGTCACTTTCTTTTACTGTTCTTGCCTGCTTGGCCTCTCATTTCACTTGCCCATCTAAACCCTAACCTGAAGTCAACCTAGCTTTAAGTCTACTCCATCTTTACTTCCAACAACTGATGATTCTGATGAATATTATACAGCCAGGTATATTTGTGGCACTCAGATTTCATCGTCTCAGCCTCACTCTGGTCTTTTTAATGTTGGTCCTAGAGCCAGTTTGCTTTCCTCTGATTCCATGACAGGTGCCTCTGCTTCTAACAGGAGACTTGTTTGGATCTGATATGAGTTCCTGTCAAGTCATCTAGTCTCCAGAATCTGGGAATCACTTTAGATATTTAAAGTAAATTTGACTTCTCTGTCATGGTCCATTATGGATTGATTTGTGGTTTTATACATTAGATTAATCAGCGATTCTATGTTTCTCATTCTCAAGTTTACAATAAGCACTTCTCTGTGGTTCTCATCTATTGCCTGTTCCTTTGGGTGCTGGGAATTGTGCTAGCACTGAATACACACTGTGTTAAAATTTATTAGCGTTACCTATCAGCAAACAGTTCTAAATCCCATCTGGGTCACTTCCATAGACTTCAATTCCCAAATGCTCACTGCTCGTTTCCCTGTCCTGGTTGGAGTTTCTTCTAGGTCCCTGCTCCATCCTCATGGATTCTTCTGGCCCAGTCGACCCCAGCTGTATCCTAATGAAACAGGTATTCAATTTTAATCCTTCTGTGAGGTTCCATTCATGTAATATGAGAATCTTAGCAACTTCCTTCTCTTTTTTTTTGTCTAAATCAAAGTTAGATGTTCTAACTTCTTTGATGTAAAATGAAATAGTTGTCCTTGTAACCCAAAGTATTGATTAAAGTCCTCTGACTCTAGAGTAAAATTGAACTTGAAAGCAATTTATAAATTTATTTTAGGGCCAAATTATCCCTCTCCTGCATTTTATAAGGATATATCTTCATACATACTTTGTGCATAATTTTATATTCTTTTTATTTGAAACATAAATATTAAAATAGTATATCTTGCTGTTTAAGAACTCTGTGCTTCAATTCCATGTCTAGAGTTGAAGTTTTTCTCTTTTTCTGTTTATTGAACAAGCTATACCCCATTCTCCTTTTGAATACCTGGAATAAAATATACATCATTGAATTATTACAGCTAACAATTATCTTTTCCATTATTCAGTAATTTAATGATCAACTTCTTCTCAAACTAATGGGCTTCAATTTGCTTGTAACAATTCTGAAATGATAATAATAGTTCTGTGCTAATCATATCTTGGTATAAGAAGTGGCATTTTAAAATGAGTAAAGTGAGAGAAAATGAGAAACCAAAGATCACAAAGCAATTTGTTTAAGATATAAAAACAAGACCATCAACGCCTACACACTAAGAATTCCCCACTCAGAAGACATCAGATTTAAAAACTCCAAATGGCCAGGCTCAGTAAAGCATACCTGAAATCCAGTGACTCTGGAGGCTGAGGCAGGAAAATGGCAAGTTCAAGGCTACCCTTAGCAATTTAGCAAGGCCTTAATCAACTTAGTAAGACCCTACCTCAAAATGAAGAATAAAAAGGACTGGGGATGTGGCTCAGAGATAAAGCACCTCTAGTTTCAATCTCCATTACCAGAACAGCAACAACCACCAAACCAAACAAGCCAAACAAACTCCAAATGCAATTGCCAACATACTGACAAGGGAAGGACTGGCATTGTTCCTGTTCCTATTGAGCCCTACCCAGCCTTCAAGTCCCACTGAACCTACTGATCTCACCAGGTCATATAGATATTTCCCATTTGAATTTAAAAAAAAAACCTTTTTTTTTTTTGGGGGGGGGGATAGGGATAAGTCATTATTTAGCAAAGAACAGATAGGATCATAGGTGTCCTGTCAGTTGCATGAGGCACACATACTGTAAATGGTGGGGAAATTCCCAGCTGGATCCATCTTGTGAAAAGAACGATAAACAAACCAGATGGGATGATAAACAGGGAAGCTGGGTCATTTTACCAGAAAAAGAAGGAAGTTAGGTTGACCCTCATAAGCACAAGACCACTGACTCAAAAGCATATATATTTTTTTAATTTTTTAGCTTTCGGCGGACACAACATTTTTGTTTGTATGTGGTGCTGAGGATCGAACCCGGGCCGCACGCATGCCAGGCGAGCTCGCTACCGCTTGAGCCACATCCCCAGCCCCAAAAGCATATTTTTGCTTAATAAAAAAGCTTGGGAAGAGAAATGCTGTCATATCACAATTCTACAACACAGGAGAATATTACAATAAGCATGTACCGATTCAATCAAATAATTTTTGAGTGACATAACAATGCAAGGTTTGCACCAGAATGCAAGCAGACTGGCAGTGTTTCTCATTTGAACTAAGTGTATCATCCTTATTTAAAGCAGCAGCTTCCCCCAAACCTTGGGAATCTCATATTAGAACTCACAGTCACTCATAGAAGGGCTATAACAAACTATTATCTGCCTCTAAACTCACATATGTCAAATCCCTCACCTGGTGTCAAAATCTATTCCTACAACACAGTTCAGTTTGAGTAACTTCCTTTCTCAAAAGTCTACAATGGCTTTGTCCTCACCAGGAGCAAGTTTCTAGCACAGAGTTCCAACTTCTCCATTCTGTAGCACCTTTCTGACCTTTCTGCTTCCTCACCCAGAGCTCCTTTGAATTAATCATGAATTTCCCTCCCTTTAGCTTTGCTCAGGCTGTTCCTACAGCTTGTTTCATTTTCTTTATCTCTCTGTGTCCTAAGATCCTTTAGTCCTTGTTCTAACATTCCCTCCATGAATCCTCTATTAATACTCCAACTCAAAAGTTCCCTGGAACTCCCAAGTTCCGTCACACTCAAAGATGCTGCCTACTGCCTGGTGTGGGAGTTACTTGAACTCGTGTCTGATCTCCATCCATAGTTTCCTATGTTCTTGGGTCTCCTACAGGAGTCGTGCTCCAACTTAGCAAGCATCAGAGGGCTTGTTATAGCACAAATTTGTGGACTTCACCTCACAGCTTCTGATTCAGTAGTTTTAGGGTAGGGGTCAAGAATTTACATTTCTAGCAAGGTCCCAGGTGTTGCTATGCTGCTGGTCAGGAAACCCTTGTATTATGGGCCTGACATAATGCTTTAGACATAGTAGGTTCAACAAACACTTACTGAATAATCAGGGAGCAGGCATGCTGTTAGCCATGCTTTTCAACTAAAAATAAGTTATTCCATTAAGACTTACAATAGAATGTCTAAAAATATAGATAAGATGGGTTTTATTTCAGATTATGAAGAGAAGCAGAGTTTTAATAAAGTGAAAATATTGACAGATTCATGGTTAAGTCTCATTCAATCTATTCTGCTCTGTACTGGGACTCTTGAGAGTTGGGGTGATAGATGAATAAAGAAGGGAAAGGAAGGAAAGAAATGAAAGAAAGAAGGGAATTGGAAGGAATGAAAACTGCAAATTTCCTCAAAGACTCATGTCAATTGGAGTAGTTCCTACTTTGCCGACAAGGAAATAGGAGCTCCAAAATGTCACATAGCATGCACAGCACAGAAACAGAGCTCCAGGTTTTCAGTTTGCCAGGTTTGATGCACATTCTGCTCTGCTTGTGGCTCTTCTACAGAGTCAGTAACATCTTATGTGGAACTGAATACCAGGCATTAAGAAAATATTAGGATTGAGCCCAGGAAAGCAACCAAAAAATTCCCAATTTATTTTGAGTCATAATGAGTAGATGGCAAATACATCATGTACACTCTGTATGTCATTCACTATTCCCTAGGCACCATAATGATGTGCTTCCTAGGCTGAAACATGAAACTCTGGCCTCTGCCTTCACCTGGTCAAGAATCAAGGCTCTGTGGTATTATCTGCCCTGCGCCCCTTTCAAATATGCATGTGGCCCTTTCCAGCTCTTTGGGAGAAATGGGAGAGATTAGAGCTGCTGACACCCAGAGGTAAGAATAAGTCCATGAAACTAATTATCAGGGAAGGTCTATATCTGGAAGTAGGGAGAAAAGTTTTATGAATCTCTGTACATCATTTGTCTGCTTTTGGAGATAAAAAGACAAAACAGATCTAACATGACAGTCGAACAGAAGATTGCTGGCATAACATAGAGTATGGGGTTGGTTGGGTTTTTTGTCTCATGAATACAAAAAAAAAAAAAATGAAATCCACAGATAAAAAGGCTTGTGGGAGCAAAGTAACAGGATTTATTCAAATAGTAGAAAGAATTAAAGCAGAACTCCTGAAAGAGGAAAGGTCTCAAGAGACAGTTTCTAGTGAGTGGTTATTGTCTAGAGGTTTATATGAATCGACAGGGTTAAGGAAGTTAGGCTGTGACCCAAATCTGGGTATGGCTCTCAGTGTCCACGAGCTCTTCACTCACCCTTTGGTCCAATCAGGTTACTGTGCCTTTTGGGAAAGAGGGTCTGGGCACTAGGCAATGGATGTCTCAATATCAGTTTTTCTGTTTACATAGGAGTTGGCCTGACCTTAATGGGGCCCAGCTTGTATCTGTGGTCTCTCACCCCTCTCAGTTTCTTCTCTGAGCATCCCAGCTCTTTCTTATGCTGTATTGGGCCCAGACAGCCCTCTTATGACAGGGACAGCTTAGGGAGGGTGTTGCCCAGTAGCAGTGGTTACTTGGCTGGAAACTTGGTGGAGATGCAAGGTCTTAGGTGCTATGTCAATGTACTGAACAAGAGACTTGGGGGGGGGGGTGTGCAGGGGACCTAGTAATTTGTACTTTAACAAATGGCCCTCCAGGAAATTATTCTTTAAGATATAATTTAAGCTTTTATTATCCATTTGTGGAAACTGTTTTGTAATCAAACATGTATGATACACCCCTACCAGAAACAGAGACTGAAATTACAGCAACTGTACATATGAGAATATAGCCATATTCCTCCAGAGTTGAAACCAAGGGGCATGGTTAAAGATGATGTACATTTAGGAAGAAATAATTATTAAATTTAATAAATAAATTATTAAATTTAATAAATAAATAAATTCTAGAAGCCAGAATTTGTTGTTGTTTTTGTTGTTATATTATATCCAGCTTGACAAATATAAAACACCATGTATATTTTATGTAGATGTCACATGAATATTGCATTTCATATGCAAGTGTGTTTAAAAAAGAAATGTGCAGCATTTGAGAAAATAAAAATTCAGAAAAGCACATAAAAGACTCAAATATACAGCATATTTACAGAGGACAAGACTACTATAAAGATGACCATTTTCCCCAAGTTAATTTATAATAATAACTGGTCAAAATTTCACCATGCTTTACTTTTTGTTAAAGAAGGGATGAAAGCAAAAACTTCTGAAATTCTTCTGGAAGATTATATAAAATTAGCCAAGAACTCTCTCATATGTAAGAGCAAATGTACCAGCTATCATTACCTGACACTAATAACACATTATTATATTACAATAGTGTGATAATTTAAAGGCCAAGAAATCACAATACAGAAAACTACATAGATAAATTCATATGATGCAGGCTAAAGTTTAAGAACCACAGCTAGTATTTTACTAATCGACAAATAGGCAATCGTCCACGCTTCAGTTCTCTTTTCAAGGTCTGCCACCAAATCATCAGCAATTAATGGTTCAAGCCAAAAATCTCTAAGTAGTCTAAAGTTTTCTGACATCAAAGTATCTTTATTTTGGGGGTAGTTTTTAAAAAATGCAAAAGCTTTTTTTCCTCCTGATAGTTTTGTTATTTTTACAACTTTGTGTTGTATTGAATATATATTTGAAAACAAATATTTAAATCATGATATGAAAAAGACTGCAACATAAAATGTTGAAAGATCATTTAAATTATCACCATACCTAACATTTATTTTAGAGTAGAAAAAACAGGTTCAGAAGTGTTACACGACTCCCTGAGATCCTAGCACCCTGTTCATTCTCTTCCCTCCATCTGTCTTTCAAGAGACACTCTTTCATGAGGCACTTCACTTTCACTGAGTTTGTGCATAAGAAAAAAAAAAGGCTAAATAATAATAAGTACAAAATAATAAATAGATAGTATCTTTAATTTATCTTGGCCATCATTTAACATTAAAATCCATATCTAGGTATAATATCTCTGCTAGTAATTAAGCATATCGTTCTTAAGGTCATTTTAAGTGTTTAATTTTTTTCAGTTTTATAAGTTGCTGAGGTTATGAACTATCTGTCGAGACTCTGAAAATATTTAAGACTCTTATTCCCCAAAGATTCTTATTTGATTTGGGCACACACACACACATGCCTGCACACACACCTTACGTGATCCTGCATCTAAATCCAGAATTTTCCCTTTGAACTCTGTCAGTGAACCCCCAGAGGTTCCACAGACTCCAGGTTAAGAACTTGTACTGTAAGAAGTCTCATTTAACATCAAGGGTAAGGAAACATCCTCCCAGGGTTATCTTTTTCAGCTAAAGACCTGTTTGGTAAACTCTTTTGCTCCTCCATGAATGTCACGTAAGTAACAGTTCCCCATGTTTTCCTCACTTCAACACCTTGTTTCCAACTGACACTATATTTGCTAATGTCCAACAGTAGTGTCTTGGGGCAGATCTTTCAGTTTTCCCTCTGTGGACATCCTATCTCCTTCTCCACATGAACTCCTGCCCTGTGAATATTATTGATGGCATATCCAATTTTAATTTTAATATACTTCATTTACTAGAGATAAGCAAGACATACAACTCTCTGCTTGTGTGCTGGACATAACAGATGAAGCAGAAATTATATGCACATTTGAAAGTCATGTTAATTTTAGGATTTTGTTCATGATTGAGTTGCTGGAGCCTCTCTTTTTCACTTATTTTCTCCTTTGTGACTCTGACTCTCAAAATGATAGAATTCCCAATGAGCAGTCACAAAGAGCAGATTAGTCTAAAATGTGTTCTAGTAAAGAAGCTCATCCAGAGTTAATGCCAAGGGACATGTCACAGCAGATTTAGTTTGCACAATAAATAAAGAGCTTGAAGAAGCCCAAAGGCAGGGTTTTGAGGTGGGCATAGAGTATGCCCTGGGTGGTGAGAACGGTGAGAGCTACAAACCTTACAGACCAAGAAGACGGTGACAGTGTCTAAAATCCGTTATGTATATTGATACTTTGATGCAGTCATCCTGTGTTAGGAGGTCCCAGGTGAAACTGCGATGATGCTATCTAGTTGTAGTAGCTCTAGAAGCCATTAACATAGGTTGATTTGGTGGGTCACATAACAGAAAGCAAAATTCATAGGACCCATCATGGTATGAGAACGGGAGTGGGTTAAGCAGGTAAGTAGAGGAGGGCCAATCAACTGCTTGGCTCAGCGGGAAGCACACCAAGGGATCCACACTGCCAAATGTCATTAAATGGCAGCAACAGGAAGATTTAGGGAACTGATGAGTAGGTAGATCTCAGTAAATCAAGTTTATTTATTTTTTTCTCAATTTCCTGAAAATTATTTTAAGAAAAATAAAGGACCATTACTATCTAGATTGGAAAAAAAAAATCTAGTCTTGCTTTGAAAGTATTTTGTAAAAGATCTGAAAGCCTCTGGCAAGTAATGAGGACTATGTAAAATAAGCTAAATAAAAATTATTTAAAAATCAATTTAAAGCTAGAAGATCATTTTTCAAAAGGGCCTCCTTTAAAAGTGAACCATCTTTGAAGCTCTAGGTTTCATAGTCAATAATCTTTATTATGTATGTTTTGAGTAACTAGATACAGCTAATGTATTCATTATTCATGACAATTGTACACTGCATCATTTTAATCTTCATAATCCTTTATAGACATTAGCTAATTTATCTGTAGTAGGGCCCCTGGAGAGTGCAGTATTATTTCTGTTACTGGGCAAGCAAAGGAATTAATGCAAGGTGAAGGGCTGTGATTCTCTAAGGCCTATTTCTAAGCACTGATTCAGCTGAAATATTGAAGACAAACTGTTGGCTATGAGCAACAGAAAGATAAAATATTTGCCAGTTTGATTGGGAAGTGTTGCTGCTGTTTACTTACTCTAGAAAGCTTAAATGAAGCAGGGATCTGGAGGCAATTAAGAGCCCGGCATGCATTTTCACTTTAACACTGTGATTATAAGGCCAGACTTTTGCTACCTGCAGAGAGTCACAAGGAGTGTTGCAGGTCCTTCTCCCTAGGGGGATAGAGACAGTTTTGCTTTCCTTGGAGCTCCTTGTACCCTTTCTGCCTGAGTCATGATAGAACCTCCTCAAAGTGGGCATCTGCACAATGAGGCTGCTCACAATGCTCTCTCTTCCTTTCCCTCACCATTTGTGAATTTCTTTTGATCAATCGTATTCATTGTGATGGAAAACAATTTTGCATGAGAACTTCCTAACATGTTGGAAGTCAGTACTCAAAGGTCTGTGTACATATGGATTTTAAGTGCAGTAACTGTCCTCTTGGTATCTGTGAACTGTGGGGCCCCTGGGTTCTCAGAACCCAGAGAATACTCTGAGCTTACCTCAAAGTGTTCCCTTCCCACTTCTTCCTAGAGCCAATGAAACTCTATGACCCTCTCTTGATGATCTTTTTTTCATTTTTTTTTTGTTTTCCCTAGAAATTGTAATGATGAAACTGATTAGAAGTTGATTTTGGAGGAACTGGTAAGATATTAAAATTGTGTATCTCTATATCCCCAACGAAGCCAAATCCTTCCTTTGGAGTTTTCCTGTATTGGCTAATCCAGTTTTAACACAGAGGGTGTTGAGTAGGTTGTATAGGTTGGCAGTTTCACGATATAATAATTATGTGAATTTGGGAACTCAGGCAAATTTTTCCATTTCTTTTAGTTTTAGCTTTCTTATCTATAAAATTGGAGTGATCAAAGTATTGCCTGATTCATCTTAAGCATTACAAAATTGTGACTTTTCTCACTTCAGAGCAATTTTAATTTGACAATTAAATATATCTTAAATTTAGATCTTTTTAACAGACTGTTTTCCTTTGATTTGTTTTTTAAATAAATATTTACTATTTTTTATTTCTCACTGTTGGAATGATATTAAAGAAAATATCACCCTTCATAAGAACAAAAACTGGCTTTTCTATAATTCCCTAAAATTTTGTTACCAACATCATACCGGAATCTCTATAGCTTTAGGCTACCTCTGTCTACTGTTACTTCCTTTTTGGAAATTCCCCTTCAAAAACATTTCAACATTTCCCAACATCTTCCTCTCAAACTTTCAAATCCATCCCTCTGGCTGAACTTAGACTTTCTTCCATTTCTTTAAAGTCCATATAGTTTCTGAAAGCTAGAGATTAAAAAAGAAGAGAGAGAGAGAGTGGTCTGTCCACAAGAGATTATAACAATAAAGAGAAGAGGAGGGGCACTGAGGGGAGAGATAGTTCATCTTGATCCTGGTAGGAAAGAGAGGACTTTAAATACCAACACCTAAAATTTCTTTTATTTCCATTCTTGCTGGAGTTGCTTCTCTTGAGATGCTGTCAGCAGAGAGGCACAGCTGTGGGGAACCCTGTGCATTAACCGTGGCACGAGCATGCTCACAGGGTGACAAACATTTTCAAAGCTAGTAAATAGCCAGTGGTTGGAAAAAACAGAGGTAAGACCCAACAGGAGGCCAGTAAGTATTCAGGGGCTCAAGGGGGATCACAGAGTCATCTTAAAATGGCATCTTTCAGGGCTGTGCAGACAGGAGCAGAGACCTTCATCCTTTTCACAAGTCAAGGTTGCTGTCCTGTGACAAGCTGAGAGTAGCCTCTTGAGTTTCAGAGCAGTGAAAGGTTGTGTGTGATAGGAACTGGATACAGGGTTGTCTGGTGCCCTGAGCTAAACAGCACAGAAAGAAAAAGCTGGAGGGAGCAACTGCTTTGGGAAAGTTGGTTGTTTTGAGAACAGCTCAAATTTGGGGGGAAATATGGTAATATCACTTGAGTAAAATACTTGATATTAATACCCATAAATCTTTCTTAAATGAGAATACAAATGTTGAAACTTGCAGAGATGAGGTCTATTCTTTTTTATGCTTTTCCCCCTGAAATATAGTCTTTGTGTTAAAGGAAAAAACTGCTAAAAAAATAACCAACTCTATAAACTACTCTAAAAATTTTTATAAAATTAAAGCAACTATTGAAAATTCTCCTATCATTTTTAGTAGCTTTCTTGTCACTTATATTAAATTAGGTTTTGGTCTGGCTTGGGGATATTACTTTCTTTCTCTCTCTTCTTATAAGAACCTATCTTGATTCTTCCAAAGGCAGAAAATAATTCATTTCACTTAATACTATTTCTCAAATATCTGTCTGTATTTACTCCTCTATAAATAGTCTGTCATCGTTTGTTCCTTTTATGTATGTTAGAGGCATTTTCCCTACTATAGGAAGTAAAACTCTATGAATATCCCCAAACCAGTCATTGTAAATCTGAACTCCAACAAAAACATGTGAGAAAGTTAATCTTTTTGTTCCTAAAAGGACAAATACAGAGGAGCTGAAATGAATGAGGGTGGGAATGTGAGGGAAGTACAATACAATACAAATGTGTAGCATTTAATTATGAAATTGTGGTAAAGAGGTGAAGCCAACCTTTACTTTCCTTTGATACATCTAAAAACCACCCACCTGAGCTCCTTTATGTATGAAAGAGCTTGAGTACATCTTTGGGTTAGTGCAGAAAAGGAAATGTGATTTATCAGACTCAGAAGGTAGAGCCCAAAGTATCCGTGAGAACATAATCTTGGAAGAAGCTACAGCAACCTTAAGAAAGGGAATGGATTTTCTCTGGATTATGATGTAGGATTTGAGGCCAATCATACCATGGACCTAATGGGACAGCACAACCCCAAATGTAGCTTATCAGGAGTCTAAGGCCCTGACTAGGTCCCATGCCTAACTTGGCCACACACTAGCTGGTTAATAGCAGTAGATACAATTTAGAGCCCAAGGTTCCTCATCAGTAAAATGGGAATAATATTTTTGTAACTCCCAGTCTAATAATCTATTCAGGGTCACTAATGGATACTGAAGTATGTAAAATATTGTTGAAAAAAAAGAGACAATCTCACGGTAGCAACATCATGTTACTTTTAGCTTATAAAAGAAAATGCATCTTCATAATTGATAAAACAGGCAGATAGTATCTTATCAAATTATCCAATTTAACATCACCAGCAATAATGGAACAGAGATCTTGTGGAAGAGCAACTTTGTTTTGGGGGATGCATGTTGAAGTATTTATCAGTGAAGTATTATGCTACCTATAACTTACTTTATACTATAAAGATAGAAAATAAGTGGGGCCAAACATTAATGATCAGTGGATAAAGGCGAAGGGTATATGGAAGTTTATTGTACTATGCTTTCAAATTTTCAAAATAAAATGTATAATGTCGGAATAATTATAAATAAAGCACTTGGCAGTGTATCAGGCACCGTGTCTGTGCTTACTTAGTTCACGTTAGTTAACCTTTTCCTCTGCTAAGTTTGCTCACTTCTCCCTAGTCATGATAAGCACCCACAATGTTTTTTTTTATTATTATTATTATTCTTAGGTCTAGTTACATTGACTTAAACAAAAATAGTTTCTGAAAAAGCATTAAGCAGAAAACGGCAGAGTACTGTAGAAATGCCAGGAATGGCAATAACTGGCAGCTCTGTAAGGTTGCTCTGTTTCCTAAAAGGGCCATCTTAAAATGGTAAGTATTAAGTATTTTGCAAAATTAAGAGGAAGAAATCAGTAGTTTAGAAAAAAACAATAGCCAGAATATTACCATTTCTCAAATAAGAAAATAGAGCATTTATCTCATAGTAATGCAAAATCATGATTTTTTTTCTTAGAACCCTCACCCCAGGGTAATTGCTGTATATATTATAAACTTTTACCCAAAGGTAAATTGTCATTATTATTTTATTCAGATGAATAAAATATTATTAATTTTTATCCATATGATCTTATTAATATAATTATTTTAAAATTCATATTGTTAATATGAATATATCTTATTCATATGAATAAAATAATAATATTAAAAGTTATTATCAGAATCACTATCCTCTATGTTCATGACTGTGAAGTTCTAAGGAATTGAGAAGGAAAAAGGAAAACAATTTACCATTTGAAAAAACTAATTACTGAATAGGCAGATCTTGAGTAAAAACCATCATGCTGAAGATTTCTAAAGACATGGTTGGACAAAGAGCAGGGCAAATGTGTTCAAATGGATAATGTAGCATACGGTAAGGTAGGGGAGAGAGGATGGCTAAACTCTGATTGCAATAGAACAGTAAATTAACATTTAAAAGATCTTATGCAAAATGATATTCAGAGTGGAATAAGTATAAATAAAATGTGGGAACATGGGAAATCCAGTAGCTGGAAGGCATTAAAGCCTTGGTCTTAGATTTTGGTCTTGGATTTAGGAAGAAATTGAGAGTAGAATTTTATAAGAATTCTAAGAAAGGAAATACAGTGACAAAGTGATACTTGGAAAGAAAAGTTTTTCAAATGTTTTAAATAGATCATGGATAGAGCAGATTCAAGGAGATAAAGATCTTGTTTGGAAAGCAATGTTAAGACAGAGACAATGGATGTTTGGAGAGCACAGAAGGATTGCTTTGCTGGATTTTGAGTGTGTGGGAACCAAAGAAGGCTGAAATGATCTGAAGGATATTGAGATTCCCAGAAAGCACAGGAAGGAAAGATGGTCCTATGTGAGCCTGGAGTGGGTTTTCTGAGGCTAGAAACCAGGCTAATATTACACCCATTGCTTTTACTCTCCTGTCCCTCTCAGTCATCATTGCAAAACAGCCAGTCCTTGTCTTCAATTCTGGTCCTCCTTCTTCCCAAACCTGCTGTGAAAGGCTCTTCTCTGAATCTCTGAGCTGCACGGGCTCCAGGTGCCTGCTTACAGCCTCCCAGGACTGGCTGGGGCAGGGTCAGTGCCTGGGTGATTAGTAGCTTGCTGAGGTATGCACTTTAGCCACTGCTGCTCCTGTTTCTTTGTTGTTGTTTGGTTTTGGAGGATTTCAAATGATAATTGATTTTTAAAATGTTTATTGCTCTCTCTTGCCCTTTCCTCACAAAGAAAAAAATGAGTCCCCTGCAAATGTTCTCTCTCAATCCAGTTGTGTGGCACAACCATAGGTATGTGTACACAGAATAGATGACTGGGTTGCTGTCCTCTCCTGGAACTGCTGACCCTCTGTGGGGTCACTCTCTCCACATAATGTGTGGAGTTCTCTCTCTCTGCTGCTCAGAGTCTTGGGTAGAAAAGATGTTAGTCCTTTTTGTGATTGTCACTCAAACTAGCAGGGTACTCACACAACTCTATATGATATCAGATCATCTATTTATCATGAACATGGTGGTTTTTCACATGGAGCTAGGCTGGCAGAGAAATTTATGTGACACACAGTATACATTGTACTTATATGGAATCTTTGGAAGTAAAATATGTCCAGAGCTTTACCCCATAACTCATAACTTACCCATTCTATATGGACATATTTAGGATCATTGGCCTCTTGTGAATACAAAGAAGACTGAAGACATAAGGAGCATGAATACATGATCATGTCCTATAGGGTCTTTTCGTCATATTGTCCCTGCCTTATTTTGCCATTACATGTCAGTATTCAAATTTCA